TATATGTTTAATTTATTGAATGTTTAGTTTCTGTAAGTGGTTAATATTTATTCTCCGTATTTAATTTCCAATTCGTAAAGTGTTACGATAGGAATATTCCCAAAATCTCTCTCCAAACTTTTCGCTATTGTTCCGAACATCTTTTTTGTATATGATGATGTTTCAGTAGAATTCCTGCCATATTGTCTTTTTTCTTTCAGACTCGAATCCCGATAAATAGATAAACAGTTACTCCATTATATCAAGATTCTTATCCTACGAATTCGCCAAAGCCAGTGATTAGAGTGTAATTTCTTAAGAACTTGTTTTGGGACGAAGCCATGACCTATGATGGCTTTCAAGGTTGCCAATTACATGAATTAGTTCATTTTTTTAGAAATTTCTGTAAGATTCATATTAAAATTTGAATTTCTGAAAACTAAGGCTCTTTGACCGCGCATAATAAACGGATTAAGGATTAAATGAACGATATACAGAGTAAAAAAGGTAAAGAAGAAGAACAAGAAGAAGAGGAAGAAGAAGAACAAGAAGAAATTAAAAACGAATAACAAATGAATGAAAAATAAACGATGAAAAATGAAAGGAAGGACGAAAAGGTAAAGGAAATTATAGAAAAGAAGGAATAAAGGAGAGAAGAAAAGAAGGAAGAAAGTAAAGGAGAAGGAGAAAAAAAGTAAAGAAAAGAAAAAAGAGAAAGTTAGGAAGAATAACAGAAATAATAGAAGGAAATTGGGAAATAGAATATCAAGAAAAGAAGAAGAGGAACCGACAAAAAGGTAGAAAGGTACGATGGAAATAAAGAGAGAAAAAGAATAGAAGCAAAGAAAGAATAAAAGAAGACAGAAAAGAAAGAAAGAAAGAAAGAAAGAAGATAAATGGATGTAAAATGAAAATCTGGAATGAATGAAGATACGAAGAATAAATGAAAAACGAATATGAAGGAAAATATGTTCAACAGAAAATGAAGGAGAAAAAATAAATTGATTAAAAATGTAATGAATAAAAGATTTAAGAAAGTTATGGTTTAAAAATTATAAATTTAATTTAAATAAATTTAAATTTAAAATAGACTTAACTGTTAAAACTTTTTTTTATAATTTTGGGAGAGATACAAACGGAGTGATTGATGGAATTAATGAATCAAAATGGAATGGAGTGAAATTTGAGAATGAGAGAAAGTGAAAATAAGCGGGAGGACAAGAGGTAAATGGTAAGAGAGGGTGGAAGGAGAAAGAGAGAGTGGGAGAAAGCTATATATATATATATATATATATATATATATAGTAATTCATCGAGTCTAGAAGAATCCTCAACAGAATGCATAAAGCATTGGACTGCTGTTTCGTCCTATTTTTGGGGACTAATCAGCCGTGCGCATCCGGACCGTTTCGATACAACGCAAACGTCATACCAACTGCACCAATGGGCTTCAGTGACGAAGAAGAAACAGAATAGACTCGATATAGCGCGGCTACTTACAAATTCCGTGGTAATATTCATCCAAGTATTTATAACCCAACGGATTGTTCCCCAAGAGCCACGTTATTCCTTTCCCCTGAACCGCTCCATCGGAGAGCATTAACTGGGTCAAGCAAGTAATAGCCGTCCAGTGCTTTCTGCATTTTGAGGATTCTTCTAGACTCGATGAATTACTATAATGATTTGTCTAAAACCCCCAAATTCTATTACTTGTATATCATTGACTGGGTTCTCTTGCTTGTGTGCATAGTACAGAGTCATGTTTCCAGACACAGGGTTTCCAGCAGCCACCCTCTTGACCCAGGGCAGCACTATCTCCTCAAGATATTTGATGTAGACTTCCATGTTGAGTCTGCGGCCCTGTAGGAAGATGAATAGAGACATAACGTCGCCATCACTTCTGATCACTCCAAACACCTTCGTGATTACCATTAGACTCATCCAACTCTTTCCGCATCCTCTGCACTGTCATCCAAACTCTCTGAAATGTTCGTATTGGAGCTTCCGGTGCGAATGCCAAACAGTACATCATGCGGTTTCTAAATTTCTGGTGAAGTTAATTGCGTCATGGTGCTCTTTTTCTCACAGACGGTGCCCAACTGACCCTACTATACTGTGCAGTCGACAAAATCTAAAACAAACAACGGGCATGCGCGAAATAAAAAAATATAAAATTTACCCCTCGTAACCGACACACACACACACACACACACACACACACACACACACATATATATATATATATATATATATATATATATATATATATATATCTTTTTAGTGAATCTCTATCTCTCTGATAAGACTGACATTTATTAAGTCAAAATTGTAACCAGATGTGTTGCGGTGAACTAACGGCACATTTTAAAGTGTTTTTATGCAACTTATCTATCCAATGAAAAGAAAGCAAGGGTGAAACTGATGGAATACCACCCAACTATACACCCAAGCTTTACAGCCTCCAAAGACACATACCAGATAATTCATGCCCCACACAGTTTACAGGATAAACAGCGCGCAA